CTTGATCTTCTCCTAATACGATCCACTTTTATGTTGTCATATCCTTTAAAGTCCATGTGTGCAATAACAATAGGTTGTGTTGTGTTGGTAATATCGATTAAATTCATCAAACTGCAGTGAGAAGCATTCTAGTCGCTCAGGTTGTAGTTGCTACAAGAATTCTTTAGACAAAGGTTCCACTCTCTTTGCTACTGTGGAAGTGCCATATAACATGCTCCGGATTGCTGTTTTCTTTTGTTCTTAGTCTTTGAATAAAAAGCAGCCACAATTATTGCTTTAATTAGTTTACCATCTGTCAAGATCTTTTGTGTTTTCTCAGATTACAGACATGAAATCTTGCTTCAGTGCAGGTCTTGCCTTTTGCTGCTGGTTAAGAATAAAATGACTGTGCTTTCAAAACGGCCTTCAACTCGTCAATTTTCTTTGTCCAAAGCATACTATTCTGAGAAAACCGCATATAAATTTACTGCGCAACATTGTGTGATTCTCTTTTTGTTTTACTTGCTAATATATTGTGGTGACATATAGCTTAAGTCTATTGCCTTTTACAGTTGTGAACGTGAATTCATTTTCCTAGTCCATGTGGAAATTGTACATTTCTGGTTCCTTTTTAGAGGGCCCAGGTTCATCGCTCATCATTGTTGGTGGCACAGGTTTGTTGGAGGCACAGGAGGTCACTTCTGTTGTCGCAATTTGTTTCCAGGCCCCCAGTTAGCTTGCTTGCTCAGATATCTGATTTGGATGTGGCATCATGCCCATTATTATTTTTTCCTGCATGGACCTATTGGATAAGCAGGTGAAAAAGACAAATGCAGGCCTATACAAAATGGGTAGAGGAGTGTGACGAGCTGAACTGTTCTGCATGGATATGATGGGCTGAATTGACTCGTGGACCTACTGCTGTAATATACTGGCTTTACACATCAATTACTAGTATATTTCTTCTTGCTTTGTTTGCATTGGCACCACAAACCTTCATTTACCCTGCAACAATAGTCCATCTATACCAACATGAAAAACCATGCACTAAGCTAGCAAAACCTGTTAAGAGTTTGTGTTTTTCATAGCTGCGCAGCTTCCAGAAGCAGAAGCCAAGCAGTGGCATGAAAATTGATGTACACGCAGCAGAGGGATTGTTTATGCCTCCATCACAGACTTTGTTTCCTGACTGCCATTTCCACCTCCATGGCAGTTGCCTGCAACCAAGTCAGGCCGTTCATAACCTTGATGTTTTGTTTGACCTCCATGAAGTTCTAACCATACCCCTGCTTCACTGCCAAGATTGCTCACTTTATAATTCTGTAATAACGACACTTCTGTTGCTGAACCCTCAATTAGGCCTTTGTTAGATAGAAACCATTCCAATGCATTCCTGGCCAATATTCCACCCTGCATAAGTTTGTGGTCATCCAAAATTCTGTTTATTTCTTCACTGATTCCAAGTCTTAGTCACAATTGTGCTCGCTGGCCTACTGGTCTAGCAACACCTGAGTTTTAAGATCCTCATCCTTGTTTCTAAATCTGTCTATGGATTTGATGCTCTGTATCAAAATTCCCACTGAGCTGTGTGGCTGCTCAGAAGTTCCGAGCACACCAATTGGTGTGCTGATGCATTGATTTCTGGTTCAGAAAGTCACAGCTGTGCACTGAACTCTGAGGTTCATACAGCAGCAGGAAAAATTACAGAATGTAGCTCCTTCAGATAGCCATGTCTCTCAGATCTCTGCACTCCTTCAATTTTGTCATTTTTGTGATTTCCTGATTATCACAATGTTGGTGACCATGCTTTCAAATGTCTTGCCTGAACGATCTGGAATTTACCCCTACCTACCCACACCTCTCCCCTCCTTTTTAGGATGCTCCTTAAAACCAAATGTTTTGATTTAAGCTTTGGGTCTTTGACTCCTGTGTGACTATTGTCAATTATTTTTCTGGTAACATTGTTATTAAGTGTCTTCAGACGTTATGCTAAAAATCAATACAAGTTGTTGATTTTCATTTGTTTATCTTTATCTTGTTCTGAGTGGCAAAATATTCAGTTACTTGCACAACTTTCTGCAACTCCTGTCAATTTCTTTTTTTCCCTTTTTTGCCTTGAATAACCCTTCTGAAAAACTTACTTTCAATGAAATCTTCTGTTGTCCCACAGTGAATTGGTGTCTTTTGCTTGTTCCAAAGTGTTTCCGGTTTCTGCATTGTTCATTCTGTATAAATACCATAATTTTTCTTTTGGATGGTGAGGAGCGAGGAGGAATGGAACATGGGTGTTTTGCCAGCATAGTCACTTCTGACATCCAAAAGTGTGCATTCTTTATTAGCAATCATTCTTGTATATTAATTCAAAGTGTTAATTTATCCTCTAATTTCTCACATGGCGTTGTTAACAAGGACTGGTGGGAGTGTAACTTTTAATATCTTAAATTGTGCTGTGTAATTTGGAAGGATTGAGAAGCAAAACTTTCAAAAATTTAAATAATGAGTACTTGCAGCCATGTTGAAACAATTTCCAAATCCACCCTTCTAGCATAAATCTTTTTTGAATTCTTAATACTAGTTTTCGAACTTGGATAACCAGAGGAAAGCATTTACATTTCAATTACAAATAATTCATAAAGCTTAAATTATTTCAGAAACTTAATTTATTAATTCTAGCCTTGAGTCCTTTACATTTAAATATGCATTTTCTTTCTTAAAAGAAACTAACTATATTTGGAAGTGTGATGGGAGTCTTCCATCTGGCATTGATCCAGTGTACTTAAGGCATCTGCTCCAGTTGCTCTTGTATTCTAATTTCCATGTTGCCCCACACTTGGGCCTTTATTCGCAAACTGCCTGGGACAAAGCAGTGAGGAAAAAGTGCATTTAGTAAACTGGCAATTTTTAAAGATAATAAAGTTCTTTCCTTGCAATATATGAGAGTTCGGTTTATATTAATTGCAAGAGTTTGTGTAACTGGCAGTGTCAGTGTTAATTCACTTTATCTTGTAACAATCACCACGCTTTCTACTTTGTAGAAGTCAGTAATTCACATTGGGTTGTCTTTGCTGTTTTAACTCTGGTTCCTAACAGAGAGTTCATTGTTCATTCCTAAGCTTGCTTAGTGCACATAGCTGGCTGTCTGTGTGTCTGTGTGTCTGTGTGTCTGTGTGTCTGTGTGTCTGT